CGTGGGGGGGGGGAGGGGTGACCAATCAGAGCCCTCTTGCTCCAGACTCCACCCACAGCTCTCACAAGGCTCCGCCTTGGGACACCACGCTGGAGGGGGTCTAGAATCCCGTCTCCATGGGAACCCGCCCACCACTGTTCCAAAACCATCGTTCCCCAGCAACTCCTCCGCTGCTGCTCTAGAACCCTGTTGTCATAGCAACCCCGGTTTCTCTTCTAAAACCCTTTCCACGGCAACCCACCCGCAGCTGTTCCAGAACCCTGTTTCCATAGTGGCCCATCCCCCAATGTTCCAGAAGCCTGTATCCAGGCCAACCTCCTCAGCCCCCATTCTCATCTCACCCTAGTGCGGCTCTAGAACCCCATTTCTACAGCAACCTACCTACAGTTGTTCTGGAACCCTGTTTCCATAGTGACCGACCACTGACCCAGAACCACATATCCATGCCGACCGCCCACCTTGTTCTAGAACCCCATTTCCGTAACACCCTGGTACTGCCCTAGAACCCTGTTTTCACGGCCACTCCAATACTGTTTCCATAGCAACCCTTCCACTCCCGTTCTAGAGCAGAATTCTATGGGGACTGCTCCAGAACCCAGTTCCATCTCCCCCTCCTGCAGCTGTTCTAGACCCCTCCTGCAGCTGTTCTAGACCCCTCCCGGTTCCAGCCACCTTCCCCGCACCCCTCACCTTCCAGGTGGCTGACTTGAGGTTGACAGTGCGCCCCCTGCTGGTCAATGTGCTCTTCATGCGCAGGGAGAAGCTGCGCTCGGTCTTCACCTCCTTCTTCTTAGAGAAGCCTGCGGCGGGGAGAGGGCAGGGCAGCATCAGGTGGTGGCAGGAGGGGAGGCTGGTGCCCATGGGGGGGGGGCGATTGGGGGGCAGGGGGGAGCAGTGGAGGCTGTGGAGTTGGGGGGAGGGTAATCACAAGAGTGGGGTGAGTGGGGGGGCGGTTACAGGGGCTGCGTGTGGCAGTGGGGGTGAGAAGTCAGATCTTGGTGACTGGGGCTCCAGGATGGGGGGGGCTGATTGGACAGGGTGCGTATGGGATAATGGGGGGAGGTCACTGACATGGGGACACTCACCTTGCACAGGGGATTGAGGGGAGCTCTCACCCTGTGGGGGGGATCCTGAAGAGAGGCGGGGAAGCCTGGGGGGGCACTCACCCTGCCGGGGGGGGGGGGGCGACTCACCCTGCCGGGGGCTCAGCACATCCTGCAGCTCCTCCTGGTCACAGGGGTGGATGAAATCGAAGATGCTGTGTCCAATCAGCTCCAACTGGGTGGGGGGAGGGGAAATCACAACCAGTGTTGGGGGGGGGGGGGGCACCCTTGGCCCAACCTGCGCGCCCCCCCCCCCCCGGCTGCCCCGGGGTGGGGGGCCCGCCCTGACCCCTGTGCTTGTGGCCGGCAGAGGAGTGGCGCGGGCAGCCGGAGCAGGTGGACGCCTGTTACCTGAAGGCGCTGGGCGGGTTTTGCATGGTG